TGTCGTTTCAAGGGAAGAAGAGGGAAGGATGCAGAGGTCATGAAGGAGCAGAAAAGTTAGGAGTCAGGTGTAGATTAGAAGAAAGGATATGTGATAGGTAGGGTTTTAGTTGGGGGGGGTGGTAGGGGAGGAAGGAAGGGAGAAGGGAACTAGGATTGTCATGTAAATCAATCTTGTTTCTAATTCAAATAAAATGATTAAAAAAAAGAAAGTGTTGTTTCAGTGACATTGACTATATTAGGATTTAAGAAAATACTAATGCAATATATTTGCATCTCAACAACAGTTCCGCTATAGTATTTTAATGTATATGTAATTTTTTTGTTGTTGTTGTTTAGGAGTTCTTTAACTTAGGGAATAAAATGGTTAGTATCAAGCATTTTGGTAGTGGTTTGGGGAATTGCAAGATGGATATGTCACTGAGAAGCACTGGGGCAAAAGGAATCAAAATATTTTAGAGCAGAAGTAATTCCATTCTGTTAGTGATGTCATGTGTTAATGGATCAAAAAGCATATATTCATGTATATTTGCATAAGGCAAGGAGACTTGAAGAGCTGCCATGCTAATCAGTCCTCTTCCTTTCTGTGGCTTCTTGTCCTTGAAGTCAGTAGTAAAGCCTGTCTAGGCTAAGAGCTCTGATTTGTGTGATTCTGGTTTGAGATTAACAGCCTGTTTTCCTGAAGTTGAAGTTATCATTGTCTTTCAATTTCCTTTTTAAGGAAAGGTTGAAACTTGAGCGCAACAAAGAATATAATCAATTTCTCAGGGGTAAGGAAGAAGCCATAGAAAAGATCAGACAAGTGGAAAAGAATATTGAGGTATGTTTTACATTTATAAAGTGATCTTTAATATCATATGCGTGAGTGGGCTGCTGGGATTTCATGTTTGTGCCACCGTCCTTAGTTTCTGGGTGGTGCGTGTATGTATGTATGTATGTATGTATGTATGTATGTATGTATGTATGTATGTGTATATAGTCATATCAAGACTTACTAGGACTAGAATAATTGAGTGATGAAGGGAGTTCTTTTTATAATTTTATTTTTAAATGATCATTGTTAAAAATGTAAGTATATAATTTCCCATCTCCCCTCTCCTTTCAATTCTTTAATATGGCTCTCTTACTCCTCAAATTCATGGTCTCATTGTCTTTAATTGTTATTGTTACATATATGTACAATGCATAAATATGTAAATATAATATGTTGAGTCTATTTAATGTTGTTTGTGTGTATATGATTTCAGGGCAGACCACTTGGTGTTGGATAGCCAATTGGGGGTTCATTCTAGGGGAAGAGTAATTATGTCTCCCTCAGCTGTCATTAGTTGTCTGTAGTTCTTTGTCTAGGGATAGGGCCCTTTGCGGTTTCCCCTATCTGTCTTAGAATGTCTCTTGGTATTGTCATTGTGTAGGTCATGTTTGGGCAGCTATATTGTTGAAGTATCATGGGTGTAGTTCCCCTGTCATTTCTAGGAGCCACAATCTCACCTCTGATTTCGTGTTTCTTTGGCTTTTATAATCTTTCTGTCCGTGGGTGTAGAATTGTGTATTAGATGTAGCCTCTGGGCTGAGTCATCCGAGCTGCCAGTTGTTCTCTGCATTTTGACCAGTGTGGTTTTTTTCCTATAACAGTTTCCATCTGCTTCAAAGAGAAGCTTCTTAGATGAGGGTGAGAGTCACATTTAGTTATGAGTGTACAGATAAGGATTTAGGATCTGAAGGAAATATGCTGGTTCAGTAAAGTGGTGATAGTAGGCTCTCCTCTGAGATCCTCTGACCTCAGCAGCCCTGGGTAGTTGTCTTAAGTTTCTAGTACCAGCCACAGTTTCCTTCTTGGTGAGTGGGCCTTAAGACCAATTAGACATCTATTGGTTAGTCTCAAGATGTAAGCACCACATTTCTGCTATGTTGGTCATTGTTGTGGGTCATAGCCATCACAGCTTTGTAGGTGGCTTAGTTAGGGTTACTATTGCTCTGATGAAACACCCTGATCAAAAGCAAGTTGGGATAGAAGGATTTATTTCCTTTACACTTCCACATCACAGTACATTATTAAATGCAGTGAGGACAGGAACTCAAGCAGTGCAGGAACCTGGAGGCAGGAGCTGATGCAGAGACCATGGAGGGGTGCTGCTTACTGGCTTGCTCTCCAAGGCTTGCTTAGCTTGCCTTCTTATAGAGCACATGACTACCAGCCCAAGGATGGTAATACCCACAATGGGCTGGTCCTTCCCCATCAATCACTAATTAAAAAAATGTCTTACAGGCTTGCCTGCATCTGGATCTTATGTAGGCATTTCCTTAATTGAGATTTCCTCCTCTGAGATGACTTTAGCTTCTGTCAGGTTGACATAAAACTGTCCAGCACAGTAGGACTGTTGGTTGTTTCCTTCTCTTGGCTGCCTGCATGTCACTGTTTGGTACCATGAAAGCTTTTGCATGGTATCTTCAGCAATAGGTTCTTACCTTCAACCTCTGGGAGACAACAAAGAGCAATAGCCATAGCTTACAATGTTTTGAAAGTCTCTTGGACTCCCCTAAACAACACCCCCAAAGAAGGTATCTCATGCCTGGTACCAAAGTTTTTGTTAGATTTTATGTGGTTTTTGGGGCGCATTGTCAGCTCAAGTATCATAACTTAAGTTTTTTTTTTTTTTCAAGATAGGGACTCTCTATGTAGCTCTGGCTGTCCTAGAACTTACCCTATAGACCAGGCTGGCCTCAAACTCAAAAAAGATTTACCTGCTTCTGCTGCCTAAGTGCTAGGATTAAAGGTGTGTGCCACTACCACCCAGCAAAGCTTATCTTGTTGAGGAAGAATTTAGTTTGAAGGAAGAATTCTTTATGTTGAGGAAGAATTAAATTTGAAGTACTATGCAATATTAAAATATGTCTATTATGTCTAAGGCTAAGAATTTGCATTTATTTAGTTGTTAGGTTTTCACAGCCATTTGCCCATTTTACTATTGCTTGTCTTGATATATAATAAAATTTACTGCAAAATAATTCCTTGAAGCTTTTTTCCAAAAAAATACTTTAATGGATTTTTTTTGATGAAATATCAAAGTTGAGATATATATCAGTGTATTTTTAAGGATAGTTATTGGACTTTTATGTAATAAAGACTTAGTATAAAGACTTTAATTATCTTTTATATAATATCTCATTAAGCTTTTTTTTCTTTTTTAATTTAACAGCCAAAGAGTCAAATAAATAAAAACCCTATTAGTCAAGGTAAATCTGACCTACCTCCACAAATACAGACTTCATACACACATTCCAAGGCACCAACATATGAAGAGCTTCTCAAACAAAGACGGCGAGAGGAGGGCAGATACCAACAACTAGATGATGAAATTGAATTGGTGAATAGAAGACTTCTTAGACAGACAAATGAAGAAGTTGGCGTTTCTGGTACAAAACGAAGCTTTGCCACTGAGACTGGTGCTCGGGAGCGAAGAGGTGGAAGGGTTAATGAGGAGCCTGTGCTTGACAGACAGCACTGTAGATCTGACTGGGATCCTGCCACAAATGAAGAGATGGATGAGAGGTTTAGGTTTGAAAGTGACTTTGATAGAAAACTTCTGAGAGTATATCCACGTGACAGGTATTTACATCTTCCTTTTTATTGTTATTTTCTTAATATTGTTGTTAGCTTTATAAAAGCAGTTTTACTTGATTTACCATATTTGATTAATTCAGCCATACTGTCAAAATGAGGACCCCAAGGTAAAGCTAGAAGGTGGAAAGTGTATACCCTTAATTTAAAAGTGAGTGGAAATATTCTCATAAAGGGAATTTCTTGTCTCAACCATGACCAAGTAGGGGAGTAAACAACAACAAAAACCCAAATAAAAACAATCAAAAAACGCCCCCAAATCTTGTATGTGAGTGGGAAGCCTAAAGCAGACATTGAGATTTGAAGCCTGGATTCTGGTTGCCAGTACCATCCAGAGAAAGTCCAAGGGTTGAGGACTCTGGTTGTCTTGGGTCATAGTTTCCCAGACAACTATTAGGGATAAAACCCACTTAAAGTCATGTTGATAGCCATCCTAATTTCAGATGTTAAAATGTAGGGAAAAGGGACATTTTAACATGGATGAAAGACAATTTGTGCCTTCAATGTTTGTAAGCCTTAAATATCTTTATCAATGTATTTTAAAGACTATTATTGGGCTTATGTAATGCAAGTGGTATAAACTTTTCTCAGATTTTCAAATGTTTTTTTACTTTCTTTGAATGATTGATTTTGATTTTGTGATATTGTTTATAATTCAACAATAAGTCTTTGTTGACATTTACCTTAATATTTAACTTGTTGTATGTTTTCCTAACTATTAGAGATAGAACTGTCACAGTGCCTATATTTGTCATTGACCTGCTAACTTGAAGGATTACATGTATATTATGGGACCTGTTTTGTTTAATTGTCTAAACATTTAAGTTTTTAGTATTTTGGAAAATATTCTCAGGGGTAATAATGCATAGTCAGTATTTTAATTACTGATAACAACAAAAAGCTTTAATTAATTCTCTGTCTTTAGTCTGTATCTTAATTTAGGTAATTTGAATTCAAAATTTAGTATCTGGAAGAATGAGAAATGTGAATTGCTTACTATAGTTTTTTATATGGGCCTAATCTAATTGGAGTTCAGAAAATGCTCCATATCCTATAGTATCTTATATTTGAAAATGCTTATATTTAACATTAATTAAAATACCTTTCAGTTTTGGAATTCCAGGTACACCTTGAATTTTGATGGTGTCATCACTGTACCTGAGAACTTTGTAGAACCTTTATTTTCTCTTTATGAATTTACCTCCTGAATGTAGTGAAAACAAAAACTTGAAGTTTGGAATTTTAAGAAATTTAGGACAGTTGATGTTTTATTTTTCTCATATGAACTAACAAATCAATTAATTCCATTTCAATCACTTGTGGACTGCATTATTATGTATGTCATAAATGAAATGACCTTTCTCTTGTCAACTTCCTTAAATAATATTTTGAGATTATTTTACATAAGATTGAATTCTTACTCACAATCTCAATTCTGAACACTATTTCAGTCATGTGTTACTTACATTTTGTTAATGTGGCAGCTATCATATCTCTGTTCATTATGCTGTTTTTCAATGTTTCTTGAGGAAACTAGGGTTATATCCATCCTTTCTTTCTCTTTGAAAAAAGAATTCATATTAATCATTCAATTTAATTAGTATAATCAAAATATAACTCATATTTAATGGTGTAGTTGTTAGTAAAAGAAATAACCCTATTTGTTAACTTCTACAATTTCCTTATTCCTCACTTCTTAAAATTTTGAATGATTCTACTTTTATAGTGATGTCTTGTTTTTATAATTTTGCTATGAGTTCATTTCTAATTATCATAGAACTTCTTAACCTACCTGATGTATTTTTTCTTATCTTAAAGGTGGGGCAGTGAAAACTCTCCAGGAAGGGTTGTTTATTATATACCATGAATTGATCAGTGTTCTTAAATAATTGACAAAGTGTTTCTCCCTGGGACTAACAGTTTGTACTTTGTGTTTGTGTGTCGTTATGTATATATACTAATAAGGAAAGGTGATGTTTAGGAGCTCAAAAATTGAGTGTAAATAGATTTTTTTATGATACTTTGAATTATAGATTCTTAAACTGTAGCCTGTGCTAGTCTTTATTACTTATTAATTGAGCTGTGGAAGTTAGCACAGTATCTCTTAGTATTTTACTTTGATATTAATGAGTTAAGCAAGGTTTCAGTATTGGAATGCTGTGTGTGGTTTCTGTGTGACTGATGGGGTTAGAATTTCCATTCTGTTTAAATCTTGCTAGTTGCATACTAATAATTAATAGACATTCAATAAAATTCTGAAATAATACTTCTCTCAAGCTGGAATCTGTATAAACCATAAGTGCCTACTTAGTGTAGTATGTTCTTCTAGATTTAATGTGTAAGACATAAATGAAAAGTGCCTAATTACAAGTTATCTATTGGTGTTTGCTTCTCCCTTAGTGCCTTTACTTTTTCTTCAGAAAAGTCATTTTAGCAATTTTTAAAAAAATTCATTTGCTAGGTGGTGGTACATAAAGGTGGTACACCTTTAATCCCAGCATCCCGGAGGCAGAGGCAGGTACATCTCTGTGAGTTCCAGGCCAGTCTGGTCTGCAGAGTGAGTTCCAGGACAGCAAGGACTACACAGAGAAACCCTGTGTCAAAAAAAAAAAAAATTCATTTACTTTAAAAACATTTTAAGAATGTGTGTGTTCCGATCTAAGTTTATGTGCACCATGTGCTTGCAGTTGCTGGTGGAGGCCAGAGGGTTTCAGATCTCCTGGAGCTGGAGTTTCAGGCCACTGTTAGCCATCTGATAAGGTTCTATGCAAATAGAGTTCTTAATTGATCTAAATAATAAAAACCCAGGGTCAGATATGGAGGAAAATGCTGAAAGATCAGAGAGAAGAAGGAACAAGCCACAGCCTCCTTTATCTCATTAGCTTCCCAGCAGAAAAGAGTGTATGAAGAGTGTATGATTCAGTATGGCTATTGATGGCTATTGAATTTTCACTTCCAGATTCAGGAAGAATAAAAGGTTGACTAAACTACAAGTTGGTTTCATGGCTTTATATAAATTTCATGCTTTTTTTTTTTTTTTTTTTGGTCTTAGTAACTTTCGAATAGCACTTTTTTCCTGTATTTAAATGGTAAGCACAATTGTATCAGTCACAAAATTGAACAGGATGCCTTATGATTTTGCAATTCTTTTTAGTGAAATGTGTATTTCCCCTACCCAGAGCTCTTAAATATTTCTGTAATTTATTTTATTGTAATTGTAAGTGACAGGTGACTTTTAAAATCTTGTGAATGAGTTTTGTTTTTTCTTACTAGAAGGTATACTTCAGAACATATTTTGTATGATCTGTTCACTGGGAAAGCTTTGTAGTTTTACGTATTAGCAACAGCCTTTATCTTAAACATAAATATTTGTAAAATTTTGTTAATTTAGTATGGTTTGAAAATAATATGGTGCTTGCTTTTATGATATGTATGTGCTGAAGAGCCCATGAACGATATTTTTGTGTAGGTACATGGCTCTAGCTGTTACAATCTCAATACACTTAAGATAGAAATAGTATTTTTTCTTTTTTGTTTTTGTTTTTCTTTTTTTTTTTTCTTTTCTTTTTTTTTCTGAGACAGGGTTTCTCTGTGTAGCTTTGTAGCCTATCCTGGCCTCCGCTTTGGAGACCAGGCTGGCCTCGAACTCACAGAGATACACCTGCCTCTGCTTCCCAAGTGCTGGAATTAAAGGCTTGTGCCACCAACGCCCGGCTAAATATGGTATTTTTAAACAAGTTAGTTGAAAATGCAGGACGCTGTAGTTCTTTGGTAAGTTTTAGAACAAATCTATCTTTCTTAGTGGCTTTTAATTCTGGGACCCAAAGTTATGCTTTAAAAATGGCAAATTTCAATTTCTCTGTATGTTTATTTATTTATTTTTACTGATGTAGGTACCTCCTTGTACCATCAGTGAATTTATTTTCGTGTGTCATGTTAGGTCCTGGTGATTCTTTAGGATGAGTCACAGGTCTTTGTGTAGATTGTACGCACAGCTGTGAGTCGATTTTAATTTTATTGAGATGACGTTTTCCTAGGCCCTGGCAGGCCTCAAACATGTGGTAGTTTTTTTTCTTGCCTCAGCCTCCTGAGTGCTGGAATTGCTGGAATTGCAGGCACATAGCACACCAGCTGACAGCTGTGAGTTACTGTAGCTGTAGGATAGACAGGAAGCACACCAAAGGGAAAAAAAGGTTCATGGACAGAAGCAGAGAGAAGCGCTTCTGCCTTCTGAAGTAGGTGAGGAGACTTCATTTCTCCAGCACTGAATTCAGTGCCTGTGGTTTTTGAGGGCAGGTTGTATGGATGCCCCTTCCTTGCATAAGCTAACATTACAGACTTCCTATAGGAAAGCACGCATTTCTTTATAACCTATATTGTTTGTGCAGATAGTTTAGAAACAGTGAAGCACTCATTAGTTCTTAGCCTGGTGGGAACTTCTTAAAACCTGTATTGTTAGGAGACAACCAAGGGCTACCTACATAAGCAGCCCCTTCTTGGTGTAGGAAGTCTCAAGCCTGCTGTTAGACTTTCTGCATATGTCTGTTATATAGATGCAGTATAACTAAATATCAAGAACATTGTTCATTAAAAACTGGAATTTGCTTTAAATGGGATGACACTAGATTGTGTTAGTTTAAAAGAGATCTGAGCATCTGTGATTCAGTTTAAACAAACATAGCTGTGTTTTGTTTTGTTTTGTTTTTTTTGAGACAGGGTTTCTCTGTGTAGTCCTGGCTGTCCTGGAACTCACTCTGTAAACCAGGCTGACCTCTAACTCACAGAGACTTGCCTGCCTCTGCCTCCTGAGTGCTGAGATTGATGGCATGCGCCACCAACGTCCTGCAAAAGCTAGCTGTTATAAAAAGTGAAATTGAAGTAGACGTCAAAATGGCATGTGGGGTACTGTGTTAGATATGGGTAAAAAAAAATGGAAGCAATTCCTGTTTTGGTGGCAAAGTCACAGTGTTTGGACACCCCCCACCCCCTCAGATAACTCCAATCATGGTTTTGTGTTGGAAATAAGTGAAGTCTGTAACAGGCTGCATCTTTGTAGAATTCTTTTCTTTTACAGCTGCACTTGGACAGTCCTGTTAATCTCAGCATCAACTCCGTTAAATATTGTATCATATTCCTCAGCCATATTTCTTTTTGTCTTTTTCAGAAGGAAAATATAATGTGTTAACAGCTGCATAAAGAAATATGACTTTTAAAATGCTGGTTTTTCATGAATGCTAATTTTCATGTAAAAAGTTATGCTGATTTCTCTGGCATGAGGAATTATATTTCATAAAAACAAATCAGTGTTTGCCAAATGGAAAAAAAAGATAGTTGAAAAAATACTCACTTTTTTGCTTTTTAAAAAAGAAAATAAATTCTAAATGTAAAATGAAGATTCCTCAGATCTATTCTGCATCAGGCTGTCTTTAAAATAATATTTCTGTTTAGCTTTTGTTAACATTCTTTCATGGAGTTTATTGTGTCTGTTTTTAAGTTAAGAACCTCAGTTTTATTTATAGTGAAATAATTCCTAGAATGTATATGTCTTAAATAAAAAATACCTTTAGTTCTGCCTCTAAATTTTAGTGTGTACAGGGACTGTGTCTACTCAATGCCCAGAATAGGTTTGACTTACAGAAGGTGACCTGTAATTCCTGTGTTAAAACCTAATGATACATACATACATACATACATACATACATACATAGCTGGAGAGATGGCTCAAAAGCTAAGAGCACTTGTTGCTCTTCCAGAGGGCTTGAGTTCAATTCCTAGCACCCAAGTTGAATGACTTTCACTAGTTCTGGTCGATCTGACACCCTCTGACCCCCTCAGGCCTTAGCAAAGACATGGCTTGTGTGCACACATGAGGGTGTATACACACACACACACACACACACACACACACGAATAAATATTTAAATAACTGAAATAAAATATTCTAGAAGTTATATCGAAGTATTTTATAATAATCTCAGTTAAAAAAAAAGTATTAGGGACTGGGGTTGTAGCATTAGTTTCCCAGTGTGTTGTTGTACATAAAAACAACAACAAACTTGAATATAAACTCTCACTACATCTTGTTGACAAGCAAATCATACTTGAGGTAGACTTGATTTGGTTAACTTTAGGATGTGTTTACAGTAACTGTCAGAATAGTCTTTCTTAACTTTAGTGCTAACACATCGGATGTTAAAGCCCTAGAGAGATAAGAAGACCCACAGTGTGTGGGATGTGCTCTATAAGCTAATGTGTTTTTAAGGACACTTGGAAACAGACAAGTGTGTGTGCCTCCTGTGGAGAATGAGTCTGCTGTCACAGAGCAGTCAAACAACCAGATTTCATCTGCTGGAAATACAAGGTACGTGACAGCAATTTTGTCCTTGAGTCTACACTCCCTGAAACAGCACCTGACTAAAACTGGCTTAAGGAAAAAGTAGTAAAAGCATAGCATATTAACAGCCATCCTTTACTAGTGACAGGAATTGATTGGGAAAAAAGGTGAGGAAGTATTAGGGGTGAATATTTAAGATAACTTTCTTTCAGCATTCTATCTGTTCCCTCCTCTCCTTTTTTTCTTGTCTTTGTGTCTATTCTGGGAATTGAACATAAATCATTGAGTGAGGCAAGCACTTCATCACCAAACTACATCCCTTCATCCCTAGGCCCTACAACATTCTTTTCAAGAACTTTATTTATTTATTTATTTACTTACTTAATTTTAGTAAAGCTTGGCAGGGCTTTCAGGGTAAGTGTATAGTGCTCCCTTCGGCAGCACATATATTTAAGTTGGAACGATAAGTATATAAATTAGTTTGAAATAATGAAAGAGAAATGAACATAACTTAATGGTGTTCTGATGAATTTGAAATGTCTTGGAATTGTGGATGGAGAGATGGCTCAGTGATTAAGAGGTTGACTCAAGTTTGAATTCCAGTACCACATCTGGTGGCTCACAAGTGCCTGTATTTCCAGTGCTAGAGGGATCTCATCCTGCAACAAGCACATACACATAAAGTTCTGGTACTAAAATTGAATTGAAAATATCCCTGCAGTGGGAGTTTTAACTTTATTTATTTATTTATTTGCTTATTGGTAGAGTAGCTTTAATGCTTACTTTATAAAATTAGCATTGAAGTTTATATTGAAAGTTAATAACTTTATATATTTGTGTGTGCATGTGCATGGTTTTCTGTTTTGTACATAAAAATGACTGGTTCTGTTCTTAAAAAACGAAACCTAAAAGAAACCTCATGGACCAGTTAGCTGCCTCAGTAGATGAAGGTGCTTGCCACCAGGCCTGATGACCTGAGTTGATTCTTGGAATCCACATTATGTAGGAGAGAACCCCAATGTTGTACTGACCTCCACACTTAAACCATGCCACATGTATGCTAAACAAACAGAAAATTTAAAAATGTGAAAATATAAAGCAAAAACACATTGGGTCTGAGGACGTGGCTCAGTTGGTAGAGTGCTTGGCCATCATGAACAAAGCCCAGGATTTAATCCTCATTACAGTATTAACAGTGTGGGGATTTACACACTGCAGTTATTACAGGTGGATCACACCCGTCATCCCAGCACTAATTAAGAAGAAGGTGGAGGACTAGAAGTTCAGGCTTTAGAGGAGTTCAACGCCAGCCTGGGGTGCATGAGAGAGAGGCAGGAAAGATCAGTGAAGTGTGGGGCAGGAGCATAAGAGGGTGATGGGGAACTGAATGTGATCAAACCACATTATAAGCATATATGAAAATATAAGTGAAACAGGGAAATTTGTACAATTGGTATATGCTCATAAGGAAAACAGAGTAAATGGTTCTAATATATAATATAATGAAGGTAACAGTGTCTTAGAAGATATACAAAGTATAAATTACCCTTGGCAGTAAGAGAACTTGCTGTTTGTTCCAATTCAATTTTCTTTGAGGGTCTGACTTTTTTGTTTGTTCCCCTTTTTCAAGAAATTTTAGTTTTTAAAAATTCTTTAAGATTTTTTTTCCAAAAAAAAATTTCTTTTTTTCCAAAGGCATAATCTTTCCTAACTGGGAATATAGTTAACACACACACACACACACACACACACACACACACTCTCTCTCTCTCTCTCTCTCTCTCTCTCTCTCTCTCTCTCACAAAAACCCAGTCTTACTGGGTGATTCCATATAAAAAGGTTTTCAAATCTATTGACCCAGTGAAACAGGCTGAAGAAAAGTTATATATATTGGGGTCCCTTGGTATAAAGAAATAAAGTACCATAGTTTTAACTGACACCTTGAAAGAAAGGATAATTCATAGCATACTTTATTTTTTTATTCGAGGGTGCATGTGTTTGTGGAGGCCAGAGGTGAAAGTCTGTATTCCTCAATCATATTCCACTGTGTGACAGGACTTTCACTGAACCTGGAGCTAGCATGGCTCCAGCAAACCATAGGGGTCCCGTTGTCACCTCCCCAGCTGTGGGATTATAGACAGGCACTTCTGTGTGTGCTGAGGGTTAAGCCAGTCCTCAGTGCTTTTCACGTACTTTACTCATTGAGTCATCTCAACTCCTAATTGTTTTTTATTCTTTGAGACAAGGGTTTTTTATATGTGCTTGAATCTTTCTATGTATCCTAGGCTGGCCTCAAACACACAGTCCTTTAGCCTCAGCCCCATCCCCCCAAGTGATGGCATTGAGGTGTGCCATTCCAGGCCTTTATTTTGTATTTTGATTTCTTAAAATCACCTGGATATTAATATTTGTTCTCTCATATTGCTTTAGTGTTCAAGATAACCAACCACCCAGATCTGCTGATTGTGGTGCTTGTAGTCCCTTTGCGGGGATGCTTTTTGGTATGTACAACACTTCCAGTGATTAGTCATTTACAGAGTGTTGAATTAAATGTCCTTACGAATGACAGCAGACAGTTTATTGAGGCTTAATGCTGGGTACCATGTTAAGTATGCATTGTATAGAACTGTCGATACTTTAAAGGCTATATAACTTAATGAACTCCATGGTTTATAGATGATAAATGAAATCAGTTTGAGTAATAAGGTTCTAATTTTTTTTAACTAGGACTTTGTTGTGCTATTGATGTTTCTTTTTATTCTGTGTTTTATGTGACCCTTGATTCTTTGATTGTTTCTTAAGATAGGGTGAGATTGTCTTGTAATTTAGTTCACTTTCTTTGAATATTCCTTTCCCCCACCCTTATTGCTTTAGTCACTGTTCTATTATGTGTATGTGAGTGAGTGAGTGAGAGAGAGACAGAGACAGAGAGGACAGAGACAGAGACAAACACAGAGACACAGAGAGACAGCAAAAGAGAGTAAGACATAAAGGAGATAAAGACACAGAGACACACAGAGAAGGAGACAGAGACAGAGAGACTAGGACTGACATGGGCTTTTGAATCCTGAAAGCCCATCCCCAGTGACATACTTCCTCCAACAAGGCCATGCCTCATAATTCTTCTAATCCTATCAAAGAATTCCACTCCTTAGGGACTAAGCATTCAAATATATAAGGCTGTGGGAGCCATTCATATTAAAACTGCCACACTTATTCTTTCTATGTAGCATCTGAAAAAGTTTTTTTCCCAAATCATGATGATGATCCAAATTTTCTATTTTTTTTTTTTAAATCAGAGGTCAAGGTCATTACTGAATATAATCTTTTTGGTTTGCTATATTATGCTTGTCTTTATTTCATTTCATAAATGGTGTGGTGAACCCTGTTTTTTGATTATTGCTTTGTTATACAAAGAAGTTATTCTTTGAATGGGCACTTTGAAAACATAGCTAAAATTTGGTTGTAGTAAGGTACAAGAGCAAATTGAATAGTGTTTTAGGTTCATCCAACTTAAAAGTAGTCAATGATTTAAATTTTGGCTTTGAGACATAGATACGGTATTTTCAGACTCTTATTTCCTGGAAATGACTATTGCAAGAAAGATGGTATATTCACAGAAACCTAGTTCTTGATGCCTATAAGATTTGACCAATTTTATCTGTTAAATCAGAGTAAAGGCATGTAATTATGATGTATTTGTAACAAATGGTAAAAATAGGAGAAACGAGTAAGCTGAGAGATGACTGAAAATAATAATTTTGTCAATAAGAAGATTAATGAGTTTACCAGGATGCAGTCAGGAACTGAATGACATCATAAACTAGTGTTTGGAATAAATAATTGAATCATTTAAACCAGTGGTCCATCTTACATTTGATTATTTGTGTGTGTCCCTGAGGATGTTTGTATATACAGGGATCTTAATTCTCTCTAAAGGTAGCACATTTCATTTTTAGGCTTTGCCAGTCATTAAAATACTTTAACTTCAGTTGTACTAAAATTTATTTTCCTTCAAATATTTCATTTAGGACTTTTACTTTATTAAAAAACCAAAACAAAGCTGGATGTGGTGGTGCACACCTTTAATCTCAGCACTTTGGTGAAGAGGCAGGCAGATCTCTGTTCATTTAGGGCCAGCCTGACACACATAGTGAGCTCCAGGACAGCTACGACTGCATAGACCAGTGGTTCTCAACCCGTGGGTTCTGATTCCCCAAGGGTTACATATCAGATATTAACATTACAGTTTATGATAGTAGCAAAGTTACAGTTATGAAGTAGCAGTGAAATAATTTTATGGTTGGGGTCATGACAACATGAGGAACTGTATTAAAGGGTCACAGTATTAGGAAGGTTGAGAACCACTGGGCATTTGTTAACTGCTTGGAGGGAAATGATAGTGTACTGTGACATTTAGAACTGTGAATTATTTAGAAGTATATATTTAAATTAGGAAACTGGAGGGTTTCCTTCTGTTTTGTATTCTTGTTACTGCCTATCTGTATCTCAGTGCTAGGGGTTGACTGAAGAGCCCTTGTGTCCACAACTAAGAGTTACACCAAGTGCTGTGTACATCCTTGTAATGCCTCTATAGTCTGGTAGCATAATTCATGTAATCTTTACTATTTCAAGTTTGTTGGATTTCCTAAGAGATTTTAAACATACTCTTTTCTTTAGAATATTTGAGACCATATCTCATGGAATACCCTAGGTTGGATTAGAACTTGTTTGTAGTTCAGGTTGACAGTGAATTACAGCCCTGTCTAATTTCTCTAAGTGCTGAAATTATCAGTGTGTGCTAGTACATATGGGCAAGGTTTTTTGTTGTTGTTGTTTTTTCTTTTTCTTTTTCTTTTTTTTTTTTTTCCGAGACACTATTAAAAAAAAAACAAAAAAAACCCTTAGGTTGGGCAGTGGTGGCACATCCCTTTAATCCCAGCACTTGGGAGGCAGAAGCAGGTGGATCTCTGTGAGTTCAAGGCCAGCATGGTCTACAGCGTGAGTTCAGGACAGGCTCCAAAGCTATACAGAGAAACCCTCTCTCAAAACAAAAACAAAAACAAAAACAACCCCCCCCCCCAAAACCAACAACAATAAACCAAACCAAAAACAACAACAACAACAAACCCTCACCATAGTCCGGGTTGAACATCAACCTGAGATTGACTGAGATCACAGGCGTGAGCCACGATGTCTACATAAATAATCTTCTCATGGCTTAGAAAGTATAGTATATACTTAAGATTGTGTATGGTATAATTGCTGATCATAATGGTTTATAATTCTTAGTTAAATCAGCCTGATTGACCTTAGTGATTTTATTTTTCCGGTTTTGCCAGTCTTATGGAGAGAATCTAACTACTGTAATACACAAACTGGCCTTAAACTCTGTTGAAGATGTAGCTGCTTTCTTTTACATGCTGTTTGGTGGTTGCCTCTTTCCCATAGTCGGCTATGTTATGATGCTTGGGTTCCCATCTCTGCACGGATTACTGCTTTATTCCTTGATGTTCAGTTCTAGTCATTGACAACCTTAGCTTTTTAATGAGTTTCTAAAAAGTCATAATTTTGTAGATGATGGAGCTTTTTTCTCACTGTAGTAGTCAAGAGTGGCCTTCTTTGAGGCATTTTACCTTCTATGTAGAAGGACTCCTTGTGTGGTTTTCTTTTTTTTTTTGTAGTATTTTTCATTTTCCTCTTCATTATGTTTATAGGAATACGAGCTATTTTAACCCTCTTATTTCTTCTGCTTTTTAATCATGTATGTGTGATCTGAAGGGCCTTCATACTAGGCAGTTGTTGGGACGATTAGAAGAAACCAGTGGGGCCTGTCTCAACTTTTGGATGGATACTTGTCAAACTTAAGACATTTATGGAAGCTATTAAGGTGTTTAGTTACTTTTCTGTTTCTGTGATGAAACCCTGTGATCAAGGGAGCATTTAGAAGAGTTTGTTTGGGCTTATAATGCCAGACAGTTAGAATCCATTATGGTGGGGAGAGGATGGAAGCGGGTGACAGGAGGCAAAGCACGAGTAGAAAGTTGAGAGTTTACACTTGAACTACAAGCATGGAGTAGAGAGAGCAAACTGGAAGTAAGGCAGATAAGCTCTCAGAGCCCACCCTGGTGACGTATTTCTTCTGGTAAGGCCATACCTCCTAAGCCTCTCCAAACAGTATCACCAACTTAGACCAAGTGCTCAAATGCCCAGGACTATGGAGGAACATTTCTCATCCAAACCACCATGTAAGGGACTGGGAATAGAGTCTTCTGTTATCAGAGGCTCAGGAATTATTAATACATGTTATGTTTGGCCTCAAAAATAAGAACTCAAATTATGAAAATAATTGGTGTATTTTTGTGATTTTCCTCTCTTTTTCTTAATTATTACTATGACAAAATTAAGTACTGAATTTCCTAAGCTTGCGCTTTAGTTGTTAAGTGTCTTGACTCTTTTTCTTATCTAGGAGGCGAAGATCGAGAACTTATTCGGCAAAGGAAAGAGCAGTATAGGCAAGAGCTCCTGGAACAGATGGCTGAGCAGCAGAGGAAAAAGAAACGGTAATGAAAGGTTTGCAGTTAGCAGAGCACACTGTGTACAGTGATGTGATGTCAAGAATGAATGGCAGTTTTTCCTGATGTAACTTGATTGCAGATCACATAACTGTACCTCTGTTCATATACTAACAAGATTGTTTATCTTTGAAAACAAGAAATGGTAAGCATACACTCATGCAGTACAAAATGTAGCAAATCACAGTGTTTATGTTCTATCTAACTCTTAGCTTTTTTTTTTTTTTTCATTTTTTTCCTGGCAGTTTCAGAGATGTAACTATTGGCTTTTAAGCCTCCTGACTATCTGTTACCTTCTCAATTTTCTTAAATTATCTGTGCAGCATTAAGGCTATGAATAAAAATCTTGGTTCTAAAGAGTTGGAGAGCTATCTTCTTATCCTTCCCTCACCTCCAAGAAGAAGCTAATATCTTAATATCTGCTATTATCTTAAAAAAATATATATATATTTTGTAGTGTTGGCCCTCAAACCTGGAGCCTTGAGTTAAGCATACGTTCTACTGAGATTTTTTTTCTTTAAAGATTTATTTTTATGTTATGTGTATGAGTGCTTTGTCTGCATGTAAGTGTGTATGTATGTACACTGTGTGTGTGCCTGGTTCACTTGGAGGTCAGAAGAGGATGTCTGAATCCTTAAGACTGAAGTTATAGGTGGTTGTGAGCTGGCATGTGGATGCTGAGAACTTGAACCCAGGTCCTCTGTAACAACAGGAAGGGCTCTGAATTGCTGAGCCAAATCTCCAGCCTTATTGGTGTGAAAATATACAGGTGCTTTAAAAGAGATTTTAATTTTCTTCATAAAATATTTTGTTTGTTTTTTATTCTGTGTAAACCACTTTGTCTTTGAAGTGCTTCCAGTATTCATTTTGAGATATGTATTTTAAGGCATTTGACATGTAATGAGAACTCTGATGAAATTTGATTTTAGGATTGTAAAGCTTCATCATAAATTATTTGTATTTGGAGATGTAGTATATAGACTTTTTGTGCATATCTGCTTCATTGATGACTGTGTTTACAATTTTTCAATTTATGAAATCTTAATTTTGTTTAGAGAAAAAGATTTACGTCTTTCAAATATGTGTCCTGATGTACAAGACCCTGAAAAATCGGTAAGAGTTCTTGGCATCTTTCATTGTTTAATCTCATATTCAAATAATTATTGCCTCAAATGTGGTGGTAGCAAGTGAGGCTCAACATGGTGGGATACTATAGAACACAGTTCAGTTCAAACAATTGTGAGCCAATCCATTTTCCTAAATGTTGGTCATAGCTTACTATGAACTATAGAAATGGTAACTGAAAACATAGTCCTATCCTTAAATGTTACCCACTGTTAGTTTTTTAAGATGATATCCCCCTTTCATTTGTGTATCTTTTTTTAGTTAGTTTTTCCTTCTGTTCACATGTGCACGTCTGTAAGAAAATTATCACAGTGTAACTTAAAGTTGATGTTGTAATTGAAGGAAAGCAGTGTGTAAGCGAAAGAGGGATTTTTATTAGGGAAAGGGATCATTGAAAGGGAAAAGGGGAAGGGGCGAGACTGGCCTCAGGAGACAGGAGCAGCAGGAAAAAGAAGGGGGGCGGGCGGGATGGACACACTGAGAGAGAGAGAGGAGGAGGACAGGAGGAGGGCAGTGCCTTTTTAAAAGGGAATACAGTGAATAGGTACAGGTGGTGGTTAGTGCCTGCAGCTGAGGGCAGATCCTGTCAGAACTCCAAGGACAGGCCAGTACAGGTGCTTGAATACTAACAAATACTATGTTTAAATAGATCCTGACAATTTATTTTTCTTTATAAGAGGAATTTCCAAAAAATCTGTAACTTCAAAATGTCTTTTCGTTTTGTTACTGTGAAACTAGAAGGATAATCATACTCTCTTTACTTCAATTTTGCAATTCCCAACATCATTAAGTGGAATGAATCACACACATCATTGCAGTTAAGTAAGGAGGAGGTAACGATTTATTGCTTTCCCACAATGCACGTTTTTTGTTGTTGGACGTGTGGTGTTTATTTGCTGCAAGCTTTTGTTTCTTCTGGAATGATAATTAAGACCTCTAATTTTATTAAAAACTTATGTCTTTAAAAGGATCTAGTAAATCTTAAAATTACAGTTACCTTAATTATTATTCATCTGTAGACAACTTTGGATTTTCCTAAGTGTGTGTTCCTTGAGTTGTCTGGTTTAACACGTTTAGTGCTGGGCTGGTGGTGGAGCTTGGTGGCTGAATGTTCTTAGGATGTGCAAGCTCCTGGGCCTAGTGTTTTATACTGCTCCAGTGTTTTATATCTCCCCTTTTTGTGCTGCTTTTCTTTCTTTTTTTTGGGGGGGTGGGGTGGGGGGGGGAAAGTTAAGAAAGGGTTTCCTTGTATAGCCTAAGTTGTCCTTGGCTATCCTGGAACTAGACCAGGCTGGCCTCAAATTCACAGAGATCCATCTGCCTCTGCCTCCCATGTGCTGGGATTAAAAGCATGTGCTGCCACCCCCGGCTTTGCATTTCTGACTATTTGTATAATGAAAATTTTAATATTAGAAATCATTCCTGAGCCAGGCCTGATCATATTCTTTTTATAAAGTTATTTGAAAGGTTGAGACAAGTTCAAGATCTCTTTGGGCTATGGGGTAAGTTCATAGCTACTCTGGGCAACTTAATAAGACTCATAAAGTAAAAAACTAAACAAGAAAATTAAAAGGACCAGTGTTATATATAGCTCAGTAGGAGAGCTGCTGCCTAGCATGAGTGAGGTCTTAGGTTCAGTCCCAGATTCCTGGTACTGCAGAGAAAAAAAAACCTTCGTGATTATATTGTCTTCCAGAAAGAAATACGTAGGGCCCAAAGGTAATCTTTTTTGTTTTCCATTAAATATTTTTTTTTTGGGGGGGTGGTTTTGAGACAGGTTTTCTCTGTGGCTTTGGAGGCTGTCCTGAAACTAGCTCTTGTAGACCAGGCTGGTCTTGAACTCACAGAGATCCACCTGCCTCTGCCTCCTGAGTGCTGGGATTAAAGGCGTGCACCACAAACGTCCGGCTTCCATTAAATATTTTTAAAGTAGCCATTACAATAAAAAATTAGCTTTTGGCCTGGCATTGGTGGGGCATGCCTTTAATCCCAGCACTTGGGAGGCAGTGGCCAGCCTGGTCTACAGAGATAGTTTCAGGGGACCTCCAAAGCAATACGGAGAAACCCTGTCTCGAAAACCAAAAAACAACAACAATAAAAAAATTAGCTTTTGGAAACTTGGTTTTTTAATGGCATGTGTTGGCATGTTAAGTTTTATAGTATCTTATTCTGGAATTGAATCACCTAAAGAGTGTCAAGTTGAATAAATACATAGTAGTAATAGTTAAACATTATCTTGGTGTTCAAATATTTAAAAAGAACATAAAATGATATTCTTCTTTTAAATGATATTCTTAAATATGGCACATCCAGTTGACAAATTTTTTTGTTAATAAATTTTTATGCAGCACAGCTTAGTTCTCTGTGGACATGTTGCCTGTGGCTGATTTGACACGTGCTGAGTCAGATGGTCTTGAGGAGACTGTGGCCTGCCAAACCTGTGCGTCTGTCTTTCCTCTCTGATGCTGCACACAGAGCGCTTGCTCGGGCTGCTCCACAGTACACTTTGCTCTCATAGTGGCAGCTGAGTAGAGACATGGTATAGTGCCGTTCTGTACAGAGAGAGTTTTGTACTTCAAGTTCATGCCTGGCTGCAGTTGTTGTTTATTTATTAATCATGAGACATTAGGTGATTTATGTGCTTCTCAGGGAGCCTCAGTTCCCCACTTATAAGTAAGAATCAGATCTTTAAAGTCTTTTATAGCTATAAAATTTTGCTGTTCTGTAACTGCTGGGATAGAGGGTCCTTGGAGGTCCTTGTCACCTTTAAACTTATGATTCTATATAACAAACAGGTTTGTTTTTGTTTTTGTTTTCTTTTTCTTTATTTTAGCCTGATAGAGTAAAGCAGTTTAGTTTGACACCAAGACCCTTTGAAGAGATGATACCACCTGAGAGACCCAGAGTAGCTTTCCAGACACCTCTCCCTCCTCTCTCTGCCCCGTCAGTCCCACCCATCCCGTCAGTTCATTGCGCCCCTTCTCACAATGAAGACTTGTACAATGGACTCAACTGCACCCTTGGTGAAGTGGTGCATCCCAGGTGCTTGTTTACAATGTTTTGTTTTTGGGAATAGGTAAGGCATTGTTGTGTCTTCTGTTTAGAGGGTGTGCTGCAGCAGAGGACGCTGGCCTTCAGAGGTTTGATAAATAATAACTTTGCCACATAATCTCTTCGTATTCATTGTTATTGATATTCTTTCTCTGCTATTAGAAAAAGGAGAAATCTTTAAGTTTCTATTAAAGAGGACTAATATTTTTAAAATGATCAGTAAGTATATGTTAGTATTTTTGGTTATATTTTTAATATCTTTTAACTTAGGAAAGTTATGCATTGTTCCATTATTTCCACTTGGCAATCACTGAATTGTTTGTTTAACTTACTCAGAAAAATTTTCTAATATGGCACATATCTGTATGATTTTATTTTAGCTTTGCTTCAGTTCTCTCTGGGCTTACTCTGGGGCTGTTTGAATTATCAACCTGTAATACATATTGAACATGTCATTTCTATAGGTAAAAGGCATGTTATACTAATCTGTACATGAAGAAAACCCTGTAACAGATATTTTCTGACCTATACTTTTTTTTTTTGCCTATGGTTAATATGCTAACTGTAGGAATATGTTTAAATTTGTAGATGTTTTTCTTAACCTTGTAACACATACTTCTGAGCTGTCCTTCCTTTCAGCAGTTCTTGGTCTTTTATTTGCTACTAACAAATTGTAGGGCTTTTCTTATAGTATTTATCAGTTGCTTTCTTTGTTTTCTTCAATGACTTCCCTGCTCTAAAGACGGAGACTGGAATTGCAGAGCGTGAAGTGAAGTGGCTTCTGTTTTGGATTAACGGTTGGAACGGGCTTCACTGGACTTTATGCAAAAATGTTTTCTCATTGTTAAAGATGGTAGTAATACTTGTCTACAGGTGGAGGGTCATTGTGAAGCTTGACTCTTCTGTGTATATGTACAATTTAGGAGTTGCTGATAATCACAGATTCCATTCCTAACAGTTACTCAGGTTTGTCTTTTGCTGATGTATCTGGGTTAATGATAGTGATGTTAGACACACTGAGTGACTAATAAGTGTGGGAATTGCTCACTATTGGAGAGACTTGGTGCCATCTTAGACCTCCTGATTCTTTAGGGGGAATGTGTTAATACTCATGTAACAGTCTACAAAGCTCCTCTTTTTCTTTCTGTTCCTCTAAAGTAATCTATCCTTGCCATTTTTATTATTGAACATTACTATTCTGGAAGAAATATATAACTGTCTCCTACTCAGTAAAGAAATGTAGAAATACAAGTTTCTATATATTTTAAGTTTAGGAACTGTTCAAGATTATATCAGGACTATTTTCAACTTAACACATTATGGTTTACTTTCTGTGAAAACCCAGTAAGTTATATATATATATATATATAATACACCCTATTGGGCTGGGGAGATAGTTCAGTCAGTAATATACAAAAAAGTTGGGTGTTTTATGGTGTGTTTGTGGTCCCAGTGCTGGGAGGTGGAGAGACTTGATACTCTTGGCCAGTGAGTGACCCTGTCTCAGAACACCAAGTGGACAGATCCCAAGAATTGACACGAAAGGGTGACTAATAGCTTCTGCACTTGCGCATGCACAGGTACACATTGTCTCCCACATGCACGTGTTCCTGTATGCATAAAGGACATATGAACACCCATGCGGACACATGCACAAGTGTAGCCACACACAAACACTCACTGTATACACTGTCTTGCCCACACAGAATCATTTGTAGCCCTGAGGTTATGGAGCTCTTTGTCCTGTCTGAGTGTCTCGCCTTATCACATACCGAAGTGATCCTTTTCTGGGACTCTTGAAGCTTTCCTCCCATCTCTTTAGAGAGACTGGACATTCTGCTATTGTTCCTTTAGCATTCTTGTCTCCTTGTCTTATTTTACTGGATACTGTCCTCTTGTAGTTGTTCATTTCTGTATTACTGAGAGGCAGGGAGCAGCTCTTTGTTTTATATGGCACATATGACTACTGGATATTACTCAATTATGTTAACTCCATTTCTTATCAAAATGTTCCCGAAGTTTTAAAATTTGTTGCTGTTTGCTTTTTGATTCATATTTTCTCTTGAACAATTAGTACAAGATTGATTTTTAGTTTCAATAGTACTTTTTGCAAAAGATTAAAATATCTTGATTTAAAGTAATAAAATATGAGAATAATTTTCATTTTTCTTTTGCTATAGGGTAGTGCCTCTGCCTCCACCTCCTCTGCTGCCCCCTCTGGCGCCCCATCTGGCGCCCCCTCTGGCGCCCCATCTGGCGCCCCATCTGGCGCCCCATCTGGCGCCCCATCTGGCAGCTAACTATCGAACGCCTTATGATGACGCTTACTATTTCTATGGTGCCAGAAACACACTGGATCCCAGTATTGCTTATTGTGAGTTTTCTATATGGCAAACATAGTTTTCTAGTCCATTAGTAAAGGTAATTGCTTTTATGGAAGCATGTAAGTTTTATGGAAGTATGTAAGTGAAAAAGGTACAGCTTTATTTAATCCAAGCATTATATATTTACTGACAGTAAATTCATACCTAATATCAAGTCCAGTTTTCTTACTTTGACACAATATGTGGAAAGGATATTTTATTAAGTGATTTGTTTTAGAGGCCTAATATGCCCAAATAGCATATATAGGATATACATGTGTCTATCTTTGGTATTTTTCACTCTTCTTGTAAGTTCACTATGACTCAGTTATGGAGCTGAAGCTTCTACTCTGTTAAATTTGTTAGCATAAGATTTTTATGAGTTAAGCTCCTGCATGTATTTTGGAGGACAAACCATAGCAATACCCATTTTAAAATCCAAGGCCAACCTGGGATACCGAGGAAGGTACAAGTCTGCTTTTGTCACACAATGAGAGCCAGTCAGTGAAGAGTCTTTCTCTGTCCCACCAGCTCCCAAATAATGATACAGAGACTTCTTATTAATTGTGAGAGCTTGTTCCTAACTGGTTCTTATAACTTAAATTAACCCATTTATATTAATCTATGTTCTATTACTTGGCCATTACCTCTCTTCCATCTTGCATTTCCTGTTTCCTCTCCATGTCTCCTAACATCTCCCCAACCCCTAGATTCCTGCTCCCCTTCTTTTCTTTCCTTGGAAGTCCCGCCTATACCTCCTGCCTAGCTATTGGTCATTCAGCTCTTTATTCCACCAATCAAAGCAAATGCATCTTCACACAGGTACAAATATCCCACACTACCAGTCTTAAAACCAAAATAAAGCTAATTGTGTTCATAGTTATTTCCTTTTTACTCAGAGTTAAAAAGTAATTGTTTTATGTTTTTCTGTTCTTTTGCTAACTCTTAGCCCAGAAGGTTATTCTGGTGCTTGGGATAAGCACTCTGTACATTTTTCTTAGGGATAAAATATTATTATTAGTAAGTCTTTGGAAATAAATGTTCTTTTTTTCCTTTCCCCTTTAAGATGGTTCAGGAGTGATTGGAGGACAGCCTGCCCCTCATATCTCTGCCCCTCTCACTCACCATGTAGCACAGCCTGTTGCGTAAGTTTTTACTTAAAATAATTTTGTCTTGTTTACTGTACTTAAAAAAGTACTAACGTATGCATAATATAAGATCTTCTAATAGTTTTTAGAGCCTTTCTAACATTACAGAGCCATTTCTGGAATGCTTCTCATCCTATAAACTGAACTCTGTACTGTGAAATCAGTAAAGGTACAACTTCATTTCCTCTTGTGACGTGCCCCTCTGGCAGCCACCATTCTCTTGTTTCTTGTTTTGACTGCTAGTACCTCCTGAGGGGTCAGACTGTATTTTACTATGGCTGGCTTATTTCACTTAGCACAGGTCTTTAGTTTTCAACTGTCTTATAATTATATTAGAATTTTCAAGGCTGAATAATAGTACATTGTGCGCTTACACCATTAGTTTTACTAACTTGTTTATCCACTGGAGGATATTGGAGTTGCTTTATCATTTTAGTTGTTGTAAATATGCCACTATTAGAATCATTGTATAAGTATCTTTCCAGGTTCTTAACGTGTATATACCCAGAAATGTAATTATTAGGTTGCATGGTAATTATTTTAAAAATATTTTGGAGGTACTGCCATATTACTTTCACAGTGGTACACTCTATGCCTTCCCACTACCAGTGCATAGAGGTTCTAGTTTCTCTAAATATTCCACACCAGTTGCTATTTTCTGACTAGCTCCTTTGGTGTGAGGTGCTATTTCATTGTGTGCCCATGCATGTGGGTGCATGTTG